GTTTGCTTCAGTTTTCAGGGCCGGTTGTTACGTCCATCTTTTATACAGTCTATGGCCGTGTTCAGTGACTTGTCATGTCCCTGCTTTCTACAGCAATTTTGAAACAGCTTTCTGTCTTTCATCCCTAGATACACAAGCAATGCTGTAACTAACTGTAACTAATGCTGTGTGCTTGTTCAGGAAGTGTCTTTGAAAATGACATTTTTAGGTATTAGCTGAATCTCTTACTGTTAAACCTTGAAACAGGAAACACAAACACACAAGCCACTGCACACGAGCCCAGTAAACAAGGTGTCGGGCAGTTGATGAAATGTTAAAACACTTGTTTTTATTTGGCTGCATATCTACTGTTGGATAATGCAAATATTGCTTTAAGCTGACAACGATGACAGCAAATGTTAAACAGAACTGTTTTTCATTTTCATTGACTGGAGAACTTTGTCACTTTAACGTGGACATGCTGTATGTTGTTATGGGGCTGAGTCAGTCTCTCACGGCCACTATAGATTTTTAAACAATAAGGAAGTAACCGATTGCTTCAGCAGCTCTATACAAGCTTGCTTAAGATACATGATTAAGCATTTGAAACAATCTTTCTGTATTTTCTGAATGAAGTATTTATGTCTCATCTCACATCGGCTGTTACAGGAAGTAGTACTTCCAGTTACTACTAAATGATAACCTGAAACTATTTTCACATCTCTAGCTTCCTCCTCATCATGTCTCCCATCCATCAACAACCAAATTCTTCTCAGCCATTATCCTTCATGGACCTTGCTGCAGCAAACTTCACAGTCACTGATCATCCAACCACCATCACCTTCACTACCTCTGCCACTAACACCACTGGCAACCCAGCCGCTAACTTCTTCAACGACTTGCTCAACAAGATCCCTCGTAAGTTAATGAACAGCAGCTTCACCTAAACAATCCTCCACCCACACCAACCCCATTTTCTGATTCCTATGGTTCAACTAATAGATCAGTTTCATAGCTTTAAAAATAAAAGTTCAAGTAACATTGTCCTGATGGACTTATCGATGTAAATCAGACAATTTCAATAAATCTGTTGTTTTCAAAGAGATGGACAGTGGAGTTATGGCTTCAAGAGAATAACAATTTTATCTGTAACTCGGCACAAGCTTGGGATTGTATAGAGAGTACTGAAGAATGTTCAAGGCAGACAGCAGGCTTGAAATAACTTGAAAGAACAGCCACATGAAAGACTGCATCATGGATAAAATTTCAAAATCTGAGTGGCAGCGGGTGTGTTTTCACCCAATCAGCATTCCCTTTTCTCTTTAAACAATATCATTAATGTTACTGAACACAGAAAAACTGAACTTTTCTTGATAAAGTAATGATCCTATAGCTTTATGTTGCGGCTACCAGTTTTAATAATGTCAACCTATTTGTGTGAACTCGTGTTTTACTCATCATTTTGGCACCCGGCCAAACAGCACCCATGAGCCTCAGTGACTGCTGCTATGTATAAGAAGCCAGTTGGAGGCATGAATTTAAAAGTGAACTGAATGTGTTTTCAGGTTCCCGTGATTTTTAGATGGCACCGACGATTAGAAGCTCAGAATTTTGAGCTTAGTGATCGAAAAGCATTTCTGGAGTAGAAGTGAACATCTGAATGATATTTTAAACACACAAGCTTGTATCTTTGGGCTTATTTTAAATCAAAGAGACAAAACAAAGAGAGGTTCTGACACAGTTGTTACCATTTTGACTATTTTTTTGAACCAAGAGACTTCATGCTGATTCAAGCTGTGCCTCAACTGAGTCATCTAAGATGTTAAATGAGAACATTTTACTTCCAAACCCATGGATGTCTGAAATAACTCCCCCATTTTGAAAATCTCTAAAAATGGGAATTACATGTTTGTGTTGAAGAGATAACATGGATCCATTACAAACCTCTGTTTACCCTTTTATTCGTTCCAAGGAAGACTATTTTGAGGCCATCAGCACAGATCACCTGCATTGTATCGGACAACTGTGCATGAAACCAGTTCTATGCGTGTACAGCACAATAAATGTCATCTAACTAACCATCTGCCTGCCTTGTCTGCCACAGTGCCTCGATGGGCTGTCTACACCATCTTTGTGGCTGGCGGTCTGCTGATTCTGCTCTGTTGTCTGTGTATCTGCATCAAGTGCTGCTGCAAAGGGAAGAAGAAGAAGCGGCAGAAGAAAAAGGACGAGCAGATCAATTTGAAGGGGATGGATGGCAAAACAACCACAGCTCTGGTACATGACAAAACATTAAGAATCTGATTCTGCTGTATAAAATGTGAAACACCAGGGACTTCACTAGGTTAGTATCAAGAAGCAGTCATCAGTTCTGTGGGCAGCTGTCTATCCATCAAAATCAATGACTTGTGGAGATTGTACTTCATTGTACTGAATGGAATACAGTCCTACACATTAGCAAAACACACTTCAGTCAGGCTAGAGGGAATTTTTTTGTCTCAGCTCTGACCCTGGTGCCAGTCATTTTGTGGAATCTCCTCAGTTTAAAGTGGCGTTAGGATTCATGGTAACCATTCTGATCCCAACACCTTCGATCATGAGTGAACGTGTCAATCAGATAGAGGTGGATGTAAAAGTACTGTCTGTCTGAATTCAAAGTCCTGCTGATGTCAGGAATCAACATGGTGGGTATGCTTTAGCTTTTTTCAATGTGCACCCTTAATTATTAGAAAAGTAACCAGCAACGACAGCTGCTAATAGATTTAGCGTGACATTTATATTTCTTGTTTTGGTCCCAGTGTGATGTGATCTTTCACTGTATTGAAAGTGTGCAGCTATATATTGTTCCATGTTTAAAGTTTAAAAGTATTTTGGGCAGTTCTGAATCAGCTTGTAGTCGTTTAAAATGGCTTGGACTAATGTCTTTGTCTGCATGAAGGCTCTGAGCTGATGTGCTTCTTGCAGGTTCAGCCAGATGTGGGAGATGTTGACTACGGCTCGACCAAAAAGCAGAGAGGAAAGCTGCTGTACTCGCTGGATTACAACGCCGCTCTTTCTGAGGTTATAAAATGAACGACCAGTTACTTATATTTGCAACCTTTATAACCACTGATGTAGTATTGGCCCTCTATAACACTGCCAAAGTCATAATACAATTATTTAGAAGGCATCATTGCAGAAACACGGATTTGTCTCATTTATTCTATGCATTCTTTTTCCTAGTCTAAACCTGTCACCTCCATTACCCGTACTAACTGTAAACACTCTTTGATGTGTGAAATCTGTGGAGTTTTCCTTTAACTCGCAGCATGGCTTGGAGTCAGTACCTGTCTGTTTTCTTTACAGCTCACAGTGGGCATCAAACAAGCAAGCAGCCTGAAGGCCATGGACATAGGAGGAAGTTCAGACCCGTACGTCAAAGTGTACATCTGCCCCGACAAGTCCAAAACCTACGAGACCAAAGTGTTCAGAAGCACACTGAATCCAGTCTACAACGAGCAGTTCACCTTCCAGGTAGAGAGGAGTAAATGGAGGACTTGCTTTGGTTAGATGCAAGTGGCTAGAATAAGATAGAATTCATTAATCCAGAAGGAAGATTTTATGGTCGAGACTTTTGGTCACAAAGAAGCAACCTGTGCTGATTTTTTTGTCAGTAGCTTTGTAATTAAGCGAGAACACAAGATAATAGATAGAAAATATTCAGTTTAAAATACATCTGTTTCATCATCAGCATTGGCAGAAATTTCTGATGTAGATCGGTTTTAACTCTACCTGCACACATTGGTGTCTACATTCATGCAAACCTACAGAGAAATAAGTCTTAGTCTGATTGTGTTCCTAACCTGAGTGATCTGTTCCCAGCTGTCCAAGTCTACGCTCCTGAAGTCGGTCGTAGTGATGAAGGTGTTCGATTTCAACCGATTCTCCAAACACGAAATCATCGGTGAGCTCAGGTTGCAGCTCTGCAATGTGGACTGGAACCACGTCATCGAGGAGTGGCAGGACCTTGCCGAGCCGGCCAAATTCGAGGTTTCCTTTTTCTCCTTCCTTTTCTTTTCGAGTGGATTTCATGAGTTTTGGCAGCTAGGGAGGAGTGAATGTTAACGCTACTCGTCCAGTTTTTTTTTCTTTCAGAGGTACATGTGTAATCCTGATAGAATCCATTCCCTGGTATAAACGTTTTGTGCATTATAGAACAAACAAGGAGATATGTTACCTCCTTAACAGCCCTTTCTTTCCAGAATATCTAGTCGGCAGCCAAGGACAAAAGCACCAGTCACCAAACACAATACTGGGTTCTACTGGTTGAAAATTTTAGATTCCTTTTTAAATATATACACAGTCATGGAAAAAAAAATATTAGACCACCCTTGTTTTCTTCAATTTCTTGTTCATTTGAATGCCTGGTACCACTAAAGGTATATTACCTGAACAACACAATGAACATGACAAAAAATGCAGCTGATTACGTAATACTTTATGTCCTATTTGACATGCTTAAGCTTAATTGTATTCCCAGGGTATATAAGAGGCTGTTTCAGGTCATAAGCAGCACTGCACATGCAAAGGCCTGAGTGGTTTCCTGCTTACATTCAAGCTGTAGCACAACTCAGAAACTGTCAGCTCTCACGATGCCTAAAACAAAAGAATTATGTGAAGCCATAAAGGCAGCCATCTTGGTACTGCTGGAAATTGGCATGAGGGAGAGAAAGGTAGTGAAAAAAACTTAAGATCTCCAAGACCAATGGAGGAAAACAAGGGTGATCTAATAATTCAAATATATGTATATCTATATATGTGTGTGTATATATATATTTTTTTCTTTTGACAAATATCAACATTAACAAAGTACATATAGTAAATACAGCCATTTCAGTGAGCATTCTATAAACTTATTACCTTTATGTGCTGCAGGAAGAAAACCTGGGGGAGATCTGCTTCTCTCTGCGCTATGTTCCCACTGCCAGCAAACTGACTGTAGTGATCCTGGAGGCCAAAAACTTGAAGGGCATGGATGTTGGAGGATGTTCAGGTTAGATTAAATCCTCGGTCACATGACTTTTGGGATCGTATGTCCTCTGTGAATTTTGGGTGCCGTGAAGGCCGTCTAGGTCATAGACGTAGAGAAAAGGTTGCAAGGGCTCCATCAGAAAGGCACAAGTCTGCCGTGCTAGTCACAGGGGCAACGTGAGATGTCCGTTCAAGAATGGACACTAATGGCAACGTGTGATTGCCATGGAACCACTTTTGAAGAGAATGGAACGCATGGTGAAAGTCAGTCACACTTGCCTCACGTGCTCATGGTGAGGTACTAATGGTGTACGTCAGTTTGGTGTGATTTTTAAAAAACAAAACAGAACAAAACAAAAAACAAAACAGAGACACTTCAGGTGATATGCTGCCTTGTAAATTCTGTTAACATACTGACAGGGTTTGAGCTTCAGGACGTCCCGTCATCCCAGGGCGATAAAAAAAGATCCGGGACGATACAATTTGATTTCAGGACAAAAGTTAAAACTTTATAATGCAAAGTGATAAAAATAAATATGATTTCATGTTTTGTGTAACACACAGCACAGTACACAGATTCCTGGATTTCGAATTCAGAAGAAAGTTTGCGTGAACCAAATAATATTTAACTGCTTTTATTCCTCACACAGGAAAAAATATATTGTTTTGCTTTATTTGACAGCTTTGAATACATTTCATTTGATTTCCATTGATGAACTGCACACCAGAATAGAAACATATTTTGCTGACCTCTGAGAGACTTTCTTCTGATTGGTGTTTGTAGATCCATATGTGAAGGTGCAGTTGGCTCTGGACAAGAGGAAGTGGAAGAAAAGAAAGACGTCAATAAAAAGAAAGACGTTGAACCCTTATTACAATGAATCCTTCACTTTTGACGTGACATTTGAACAAATCCAGGTAAGTGTCACCAGATAAAAAGAGGAGTCTGTCTTTTCAGGCTGATAGTAATAGATAGTAATAACAACATTTCACAAAACTTGAAGCAAGCAAACAAACAAAAAACAAAACATTGTCTATTACTTTTAATTTTAGATCAACACATCATATGCAGTCATGGAAAAAATGATTAGACCACCGTTGTTTTCCTCCATTGGTCTTTGAGATCTTAATTTTTTTTCACTCCCTGTCTCTCCCTCATGCCAGTTTCCAGCAGTGCCAAGATGGCTGCCTTTGTGGCTTCACATAATTCTTTTGTTTTAGGCATTATGTGAGCGTTGACAACTTCTGAGTTGTGCTTGAATGTAAGCAGGACGCCACTCTAGACTTTTGTATGTGCAGTGCTGCTGATGACATAAAACTGCCTCTTATATACCCAGGGAATACAATTAAGCTTAAGCATGTCAAATAGGACATAAAGTATGATGTAATCAGCTGCATTTTATGCTGTGTTCATTGTATTGTTCAGGAAATATACCTTTAGTGGTACCAGGCATTAAAATGAACAAGAAATTGAAGAAAACAAGGGTGGTCTAAGCATTTTTCCATGACTGTGTATATACATATATATACACACACACACACACACACACACACACACACACACACAGAGATATATAAAGATGTCCAGGTCCATAGACCATATCGATGAGTAGTAATCTAATTTGTGTTATCATACATTCATACACATCACCTGGTAAATTTGTTGAACTATTTTGTAGAAATACTTTCAAAGGTAGCTGAAAACTAGCGGCTACTAGACAGAACAAGTAAGAAATGGAAAGTGCTATTTTCAGACGTAATGTAAAGTATTAAAAATAATTTGATGTAAAAGCTACATAGCCTGCAAAAACACCAGCATTTTCCTTTATTAGGCTGTTTAAGGTACATAAGTTTTTATTTGCGCTGTCATCCTCAGAGGGTCAACCTGGTCATCTCCGTATGGGACCATGATGACATAAGCAGGAACGACGCTTTGGGGAAGATTTTTCTGGGTTGCGACGCCACAGGGAACCAGCTGAGACACTGGGCTGACATGTTGTCCAACCCGCGGCGGCCGGTCGCTCAGTGGCACAGCCTGCTGTCAGCCGAGCAGGTCAATTCCACCTTGACCCTGAAAAAAAAGATTCCCATCCCCAGCAAACTGGTTGAAAACACACGGTGGAGCTCGAAATAAGAACATTTCAGATGCACAAAACCAGTGAAGGGAGATTTAAACATCATTTAAAGTTCACGTCTAAGAGAAATGAAATTTGTTAATCTGTCTGATTACATTGTGTTACGTAATAAGATTCACAAATATATTTTCATATAAATCCATAAAATGATAAATTATATTTTACAAATCTGAGCACTTCTTTCTTGCTGTATGAACACATTATCTCTTCTTCGTTATATTTTAAGGTTGCATAATATCTATTAAACATGTTATCTAATTTAATCACACTGAAACGGAAATTTATTTTCAGTTATTGCAAACAATAATTAAGAAACAATAGAAAAAAGAGGTAAAGACAATACAAAAGAACACAACATAAACATTTCTGAAGTGCAAAAGGTGTAAGCTAAGACCAGCTTGTTGTACCCATCCTGCTACCAATACGCATCTTATTTGACAGCAAGAGCATCAAGCTATCTGACATCTATGTGAGGTGAGCAGCAATTCTCAATTCGCCAGGATGTAATGAGTGGGACCCACATTTATGACTGTTTCATATGAACAAAACGGGGTGTGAAAGAGGTGTGTGTCACTTCCAATGCAAAGGCTTTGATGAGAGGAGTGTGTGTCTGCAGAGAAACTCTAACTCATGCCTACAAACACTTTGGAGATGGAGGCGATGTCGATGAGATGGTTAACTCAAACCAGACTGCAGAAATAATTGTGAGGGAGAGACATCATTATATGCAAAATAATTCCTTTCACAATCACGTTACCTTCAGGGAAATGTTTGTACTAAATGAGGCACAGATATGACCGAAGTGCCTTTCCCACTGTTGATGTGCTGAGCAGACATCTTGGATTTCAAGGTGGGGGTTGGTGATGATCTTTCTGATTTTGTGAGTCAGAACTCCAACAGCAGTGGGCTTTCCAGTTGAAACTTAAATCTGAGCAGTCAAAAATTCCAACATCCTATTGTTAATAGAACGCACCGTCACTTATTCTTGCTTCGACACCATCTGGGGACACGTCGTATAGCTAAAGGCAGTTTAAAGTTCTTTGAATAGGTATTCATGTATCTGTCTGTTGGGTCAAATTAGTCAACATGATAGTGTTACAGCCATTAAAGAAAGTCACAAAACTTTGCAGATTGGTAGCTGAAGTTAAATTAAAGGCTAAATTTAAAGATTGATGTGGCCAGATTACACACTGAGGCCTCACGGATTGCACCATCAACATGTAAGGACCAGGGGCGCTGCTTGGCCTGACCAGGACAGGTGCTGCAGCTGATGTGATCCCACCGCAAGATTGTTGTTCTGTGTTTTGTCCTATTATTAAAAAGAGTCCA